CGGAAACAGGCTCCAGGCTCTGAGCCATCAGCCCAGAGCCCGACGCGGGGCTCGAACTCACGGACCGCGAGATCGTGACCTGGCTGAAGTCGGACGCTCAACCGACTGCGCCACCCAGGTGCCCCTCTTCCTAAATTTTTTTACCAGTTTTTTTGATATACACAACTCCCAGTGCAAATGGATTCAGAGGACCAAATATTTATGCTTCACAATTGTGATAAGTAACATTATTTAATACATCTTTTATCCAAGATATAGAGAATATTACCAAATTTAACAAAACAATAACAAACTCACATTACCTAGTCTAACTAACTTTTATTTTTATTTTTTAATTTATTTATTTTGAGAGAGAGAGAAAGAGCATAAGCAGGGCAGGAGCAGACAGAGAGGGAGAGAGAATCCCAAGCAGGCTCCACGCTGTCAGCACAGAGCCCAATACAGGGCTTGATGTCACGAAGCATGAGATCATGACCTGAGCTGAGCTCAAGAGTCAGACACTTAACCAACTGAGCCATCCATGCATCCCTGATTAAATTTTATGTTAGAAAAAAATTAAGGTATGAAAAGGCTCTATTATGATTTAAATATACTAAGTCAAAGACCTTAATATCCATATTCTAAATTAAGAATATTATACTTAATAACTTCAAAATATTCCAGAAATAAAGATAGAAAACTTACCTGTCATCCAAAACAATAATAATTTCACCATGTTTAAAAGTAAGTTCATTGTCCTCAACGGCTTCAAAATCGTATAAAGCTCTCACTTTCCTTGCAACTTTATTATTTAACTGAATTTCTGCAGATGGATATAAGGATTTTGTTTCTGTGTGCTGCTGCTTCTGCTCTTGTAATGATAATTCAATAGCTAATTTGAAAAATTAAAATGCAAAAAACAAGATAGCCAAAATTAATTCTGATTTTTTTAAAGCAAAAAAGAAATACTTTTAATGTAATACTTAATAAAATAAATCAAGTTGAGTATTTTATTTGTCCAATTAAATGCTAAACAGTTAACTTTTTTGGAGTGTGGGAGGACAGGGCAGAGAATCATGACATTTTTTAAAATAAAGTTTTTGCTCATTCCTTATTATCACAGTCTGTCATATACAGCAGCTATTATTTTTATAGCAAACAGATTGTGACATTATAATATGGGTAGCTTTCCATATAGGACAAGCCGTGAACATATTTCTGTGCTTGACTCATAACTTTGGCATTAAAGAAAAGGTGAAATGAAATCTCTCCAAAGGTAAGACACTAAATACGTATTATTGACAATGATTATGAATTAAATCATTCTTGTATCATGTTAATTGTTTTCCTTACTTTTCAGACCCTACTAGATATGAGGCAAAATAGTAAAAGCATACCCAGTTTGATTATAATTTTTATTTAAATAAATTGTTCTGGCAAGGATGTTTTAAGCAATATTAAATTATACACGCTTGAGCATTTACCTTTAGCTATGTCTTCATCTTCTTTGTTTTTGTTCGATGATGTACCATTCTTGGCAGCAGCTGAGACAGTCTGTAAATGTATGAGTAAAATGAACACAACTACTGTTTCAAAGAAAACACAAGCTCTATAATTACTCGCACATGTTAATTTTTAAAAAGCTGACAAGAGTTTCTTCTAAAAGTGAAGTTCTTTGTAAAAATTTAAAGTAGCAGTTTTCAAATACTAAAATAAAATACCATGGTTTTCGAGAAAACATAATAAACTCACAAGGCACAAACTGGCTTACATTATGCATAAATCTTAGTATATGATACAGATCATGGCATACAGAAAATACTGAAACACAAATCTTTCCCAATTGGACTTTCCTAACCTCAACTGTCCAAGGTATTTTATTCAGTGAGGGACACTGAAGTCTAGGAGAGGCAGCAAGAAGCCATAATAATTACTGAAAAGAAGAGGGTGGATGAAGACAATAGGTGCGGTTCTAGGAATACTTATTAAGCTCTTTTAGTACCATTGTACTTGAATCATGGTGGCACCTCAGGCACATCAGAATTAGGAGGCTCATGCTTAAATTTAAAGGCATGGAAGACAGGGGTGCCTATGTGGCTCACTCAGTTGAGCTTCTGACTTCAGCTCAGGTCATCATCTCATGGTTCATGAGTTTGAGCCCCACACCGGGCTCTGTGCTGACAGCTCAGAGCCTGGAGCCTGCTTCGGACTCTGTGTGTCTCTCTCTCTCTCTGCCTTTTCCCTGCTCAGGCTGCCTCTGTCTCACAAAAACAATTTTCAAAAATAAAAAATAAATTAAAAACAACGTTAAAGCCATGGAAGACAGAGATGTCCAGGATCCTGAACCATCAACGAGTTCATTAAACACAGGTTTTTACCATAAGAGACTCTCCTAAAGACTGAGAACAGGGGCGCCTGGGTGGCTCAGTCAGTTAAGTGGCCGACTTCGGCTCAGGTCATGATCTCGCGGTCCGTGAGTTCAAGCCCCGCGTCGGGCTCTGTGCTCACAGCTCAGAGCCTGGAGCCTGTTTCAGATTCTGTGTCTCCCTCTCTCTGACCCTCCCCCGTTCATGCTCTGTCTCTCTGTCTCAAAAACAAATAAACGTTAAAAAAAATAAAAATAAAATAAAAAAATAAATTAACTAAAAAAAAAAAAAAGACTGAGAACAAACTGAGGGTTGATGGGGGTGGGAGGGAGGGGAAAGTGGGTGATGGGCATTGAGGAGGGCACCTGTTGGGATGAGCACTGGGTGTTGTATGGAAACCAATTTGACAATAAGTTTCATATTTAAAAAAACACACACACAGGTTTTTAATGACATGCAGAAAGGACAAAGCAGAAAAATGCTTGCTTTTATTACTTATAAGGTTTTTGTCCCCAAATTCTCCCTTGAGCCCTTAGTTCTGCTCAGCTATAAAGACTCTTTTTGACTGTGTAGTCTACAGTCCAAAGAAAAATAAAATATACAGTACTTCTCTTAGTTTCTTTCCCTAGTCCATATCCCAATATTAACTGGAAGGAAAGAGGCACTGAAGCAAAACTTAAGATAGTGTTTTTCTCCCACACTTAGGACAGCCCACTCTGTGGCTTATTATCCTGACCTTCACCCCTGTCCTACTAAAGCTATCTTCCCATCTCCTCAAATAAGTTTCTAGTCTTATAGTTCCCCTTATCTATTTGTAAACCATTCCCTGCAGGCATATTCACTCTTCAAAAAATTGGTGTTGAGCTTTCTCAATTCCATAAACTTGTTTGTATCATTCTTCCCCCAGTAGGATCTCCTCTCCTGTCTACATACTGAAACGCATTCCAATCTAAAAATTCTACCTCTTTACCATCCCAGTCTGTAGTTACCTTTCTCTCCTGGCATCCTGTCTTTGTTACCCATCCTACCCATCCCTCATCCATATGTGTCACTTATAATTTAGTTATTTTTCACCTGTCTATAACAATCCAACTTTACTATAAATTTCTTAAACCTAAGGGTTCCCTCATACATATATGCCTTTTGCATGACTCTAGACTTAGAGTAGCATTAAACAGATTATTTATGGCTGATTCACTTTTCAAAGTTCTGATAAGTATAAGACATTCACTCAAGAGGGGCGCCTAGATGGCTCAGTCTGTTAAGCAGTTGGGTCATGGTTTCGGATCAGGTCATGATCTCACGGTTTATGAGTTTGACCCCACACTGAGCTCTGTACTGACAGTGATAAGCCTGCTTGGGATTCTCTCTTTCCCCCTCTCTCAAAATAATAAACTTAAAACAAAAAAAGAAATTCACTCAACAATTAGAACATCTACTAATATAAGGCGCTATTTCAGATAGGCACCTGGAGAGTGGAGGTGGGAAATGATGATTAAGACAGACTTTGCCCAGCCTTTATATGATACGTACCTTCAAAATAGTCTAAGATCAACCATGGGTGTAAGTGAATCTCTTACCTGAGAACCTGCTGGAGGAAAAGTAATTCCTTCTTCTTTCATAGATTTAATAGTTGCAGATATTAGACTAAACTGAGGATCCTTCTGAAATTCTTCTGACCACTCCACCATTAAAGATTTCAGTTTTTCACACACTTTAGGATGAGCCTTTTAAGGGCAATGCAAAGAAAGAAAGAAAACTATGGTTAAGTAATGGTTAAAGAACTTGAAACATTTAACAAAGAGAATTACCACCAAAATTAAACATCAACGAAAGTCCAGCAATCCTCAGCCTACATGAGTACTTGGTAAATGCCTATTTTTGCTTTAAGATAGAGTTATTTCTTGTAAAATTACCCTTTTAAACATCAATTTCTAACTCTTACTACAATGACAACAGATTTTTTATATTCAGAGGTTATTTCTTGTTTTCTTAATATGCTCAACATTAGACTAAGCTTTTTATATCAGCCAAACTAAAATTCTGGAATTTTACTAATAGCAAGAGAACGGTGCTTCAGAATTTCTATCCCAAGGATATCAATAACAACCCTATCGTGAAAACACCCCCCGCCCCCCGTCCCGGCCCTGCTCTAAAGTAAAGACCCCCTTTGCTTGTTATCTCTAATGTGAATCTGAACAGGATAGTGGTGGTTTGGACTTTGAAGGTACGGAAACCTAGATCTGAACCTCAGCTGTGCTACTTACTAGTCACATGACCTAGGACAAGTTACTCAACTTCTCTCTAAGGCTCAGTTTCTGTATTGATAAAAAAGGAATGACAAGAGAATCTAACTTCTAAAAGTTATTAAGAGCATTAAACAAGATAGTATATGTAAAATTCTTAGAGCAGTGACTGCTTACTAACTCTCAATAAAGAAGAGCTATTATCACTAGTATATATGTTTTGGGAAGAAAAACAGGTTTTGGTGCTTCAAATGAAAACATCAAGTTTTACAAAAGGAAGTTTATTTCATCTCAAACTTATCTAAAAATTATTTCATTTATAACAATTTTATTAACGCTATATAGAGTTAAAATGACATACGGTATATGCACTTTTTAATGACTTAAATTCTTCTCTTTTTAAAATTTACCTTATTTTTTATCACAGCACGTACTTCTGTTGCAAAATCACGGGAACATACTTCTAAATGAAATATCTTTCCACAGTTTGCCACACAAGCCCCAAGAAGCTATTAATTAAAATAAAAATCAATATACAAATGTTGAGATATTATCTTATTTAACTTACTGAAATAAATACACATTTAAAATTTGGGTCAAATAATAAATAACATGACTTTTACTTACAGTTAACGCCTGCAGAGCAACATGAGGAACCTTATGATTTACCCTTTTCATTATGGCTTTTAGGCAATCTTTTGCTCTAAGAAAAAAATGAAGAAGGTTAAGGATTTATTCAGAATTTCAACTTAAACATTAAAAATATAAGGCCTATCAAATAACTTTAAATTTAAAAATAAAATCCTGCAAGGGCACCTGGGTAGCTCAGTCAGTTAAACTTCTGACTCTTTGGATTTCAGCCCAGGTCATAATCTCACGGTTTGTGAGGTCAAGCCCCATGTCAGACTCCATGCTAACAGCTCCCTGGAGCATGTTTGGGATTCTCACTCCTTTTTCTCTGCCCCTCCCCCATGTGTGCATGTGCTCTCTCTCTCAAACATTAAAAAAATATTTCCTAAATTGTACACCATAAACTAGTATTACACTGTGTATTAAATAACTGGAATTTAAATAAAAACTTTGTCCCCCCCAAAAAATATTTTCCACTGTCCACTTTCCTGTGCCTTAATATTTACCAATGCCTTCCAGTGATTTAGCACTGCCCTCCCCTGCTTGCTTGCATACACATGCGCACAGGCTCTCTCTCTTTCTCTCTCTCAAAATAACGTTAAGTAAATGAGTAAACAAATAACATCCTGCAAACTTCATTTCATTAAAGGGTTAAATCTGTAAAATGATTCTACACAATCTTTCGTTCATAGAACTGCAGAACTCAAAAAAAAAAAAAAAAAGGAGCTTGCTGTAAATGTTGTATATTCCCCAATCAAGAGCCAAATCATTTCCAAAAGATCAACACAAAAAAACTATGTCATATAAATTACCTTTTTTCTTCAAGACAGGTTTAGTGTTCAGACAACAAATTCTTATCATAAAAAAAATTACCGAGACATAGTCTTCAAAGTTTTCAGTATAAACATGTATGAAGGTACTTTGAAAAGTTGTAATGTTAAAACAAATACTTTCATCAGTCTGCTACACTTCTAAAGTATAGATCAGTTCAGCTTACTTATTGCATTCTCTCCCAAAAGCACTTTTTTATATTCACTTTTTCATCATATTACTATTTTCATCTATTCATTATCAAAGAGCTTTTTCAGTATATTACCTACTATATTATTATATTTATCTACTTTATTAAAAGGCTCCCATACATGTCTAAGTCACAGGGGAATTCCCTAAACAACTTTCATTGTTAACACGTGTTCCTATTGTGTAAAAGCCCTAATTACATATTTTAATATGTCTCAGGTTTTCACTTGAACTCTTTTCCATTTGTTCTTTCATGATAAGGTTAGTCCCATAAATCTGGCCACCAGGATCTCTTTACTTTTGTCCCCCAAAAGTAAACAGTAAAATCCCATTTTCCTCTCAAAGTTGTATCAGGCAAAGAGACAGGTAATTAAGCTCCTAGACATTCACCATGCATGACTGGGCATCTTACCCGTTAGGAGTGCTCCCAACTTTGTCACATATGTCCATAATAAGACTCCAATCTTCTGTAGTGTTGTACTCATTTGTGGCTTTTTCTATAAAATATCAGCACACACAAAAATTAACAATAAAATACCAAAAAAGGCACAGTAGTTAAAACCTTTTCTTTTGCCAAATATAAAAGAACTACAGAAAAATTTCAGAAGATAAAGTATTTTCAACTTTAAATTGTACAGCTATATGAATTAAATGTTCTAAGGTACACCAATAAAATTTCTTCTAAACAGTGAAATAATACTAAATAAGTTACAAATCAGCAATAATTCTATAAAATTCTAGGGACGCCTGGATGGCTCAGTCAGTTAAACGTCTGATTCTTGATTTTGGCTCAGGTCATGATCTCACGGTTCACAAGATGTGCTGTCAGCACAGAGCCCGCTTTGGATTCTCTGTCCCCCTCTCTCTAACGCTCTCTCAAAAATAAACAAACATTAAAAACAACAACAACAACAACAACAACAACGCTTTGGGGCTCCTGGGTGGCTCAGTCGGTTAAGTGTCCAGTTAAGCGTTCAACTTCAGCTCAGGTCATCATCTCATGGTTTGTGAGTTGGAGCACCGCGTCAGGCTCTGTGCTGACAGCTCAGAGCCTGGAGCCTGCTTTGGATTCTGTGTCTTCCTCCCTCTCTGCCCCTTACCCACCCTCTCTTTCGCTCAAAAATAAACATTGAAAAAAATTTTTTTTTAAAACCAATGCTTTTGCAAATAGTGAACAGTAATCCACATTTTCTTATATGATGATATATATTTTTAAGGCTTTCTTTCAAATTAGAATTTGATAGGATTTTTTTAAAGCTTATTTTTTTATTTTTAAAAAAAAAATTTTTTTTAACGTTTTATTTATTTTTGAGACAGGGAGAGACAGAGCATGAACAGGGGAGGGTCAGAGAGAGGGAGACACAGAATCTGAAACAGGCTCCAGGCTCTGAGCGGTCAGCACAGAGCCCGACGCGGGGCTCAAACTCACGGACCGCGAGATCATGACCTGAGCCGAAGTCGGCCGCTTAACCGACTGAGCCACCCAGGCGCCCCTAAAGCTTATTTTTGAAAGAGAAAGAAAGACAGAGGGCACAGAGGAAGGGCAGAGAGAGAGGGAGAGAATTCCAAGCAGGTTCAGCGCTCACAGCATGGAGCCCCTGACATGGGGCTCATCTCATGGTTCATGAGATCATGACCTGAGCCAAAGTTAGAAACTTAACCAACTGAGCTACCTGGGTACCCAACAAAAGCATTGTTTTTAAAGGGCAAAAGAGGAAAATGGTTAATAAAATAACAGTAAATTCATACAACAGAATATGAAAATTGAGTTATATATAACTAAATGTTCAAAAAATGTATAAATCCCAAAATATAATGATTTGGTTTATACTGAGTTGAAAAAGCTAATGGCAGAATATTAGACATTCACATAAACTTTCTAAACAGCTTTACTGAGATACAGTTCACATCTCAATACAACTCACCCAATTTAACGTGTACCATTTGATTTTTTTAGTGTATTCAGAGTTGTGCAACTATCACTATTATCTAATTCTAGAACATTTCACCACCCTAAAAAGAAGTCCATACCCATTGGCAGTCACAGCCCAATCTCCCCCCATAATCCCCACCCCAGATAACCACTAGTCTACTTCATATCTCTATAAATTTGCCTAATCTGTATTTCTCATATAAATAAAATCATACATGGTCTTTTGTGACTAGCTTCTTTCATTTAGTACAACGTTTTCAAGTTCATCTATGCTTAAGTATGCATCAGTACTTCAGTTATTTTTATGACTGAATAATATTCCATTTGTAGATCTACCTCATTGTATTTATCCATTCACCAGTTGAATATTTGGTCATTGTTTGGTTTTATTTTTTTTTAACTTTTTGGCTATGAGTAGTGCAATGCTATTATGAACATCTCTGTGCAAGTTTTGTGTGGTTTATACCTCTTTGGTATGTACCTAAGAAAAGTGCTGTGTTACATGGTAAAAAAATTCTGTATTTAACTTTTTTAGGAACTGGCAAAAGTTTTCCAAAGCAGTTGTTCCATTTTACATTCTCACTAGCAATATATGAATGTTTCATATAAGGTTGTAAAACATTAAAAAATACACTATAGTCTTTAGTGATACAGACATAGGTAGTAAAAATATTTTAGCATACACATAAGAATGATAAATACCAAACTATCCCTCATCCTAGCAAACTAGGATGAGGGATCAAAACTGGGTACACAGGGGCTTACTTGTATTTATAAAATTTTATTTATTAAGTTGTACATGAAACATCTAGAGATTATTTTATTCTCAGCATGTTTTTGTGGTCTGAAGTATTTCCTAATCAAAATAACAATTAAAAAGTGAATTGTTAAAAAGCATGATGAGAGTATCATCACTGAATTATGTTGCATTTTTACTTGATTGACTTTTACAAAATTTGAAAATCAGGAGATACTTCTTTTCTGCTAATATAGAGGGATAAGGATATAAAAATTATGACTTTAGCAATATTTTAAAATCTAATCTCTTTTAATAAACACATAATTTCAAATATGGTCAAACCTGAGTATTATATTCATATGGACTTATCACGGTGATAAGCAGGAAGGATGGTAGAATTCTAGAGCTGTTCCTTTTTTAAAAGGAGTAATAAAAGCCAAAAAATAAACAGGCTTAGCAAACAGCTATACTTTACAAGTAGGAGAGAAAAATACAGAATCTAGTTAACCTCAGTTAAATGCCAGAACTCACTTTTAAAAACCATGCAAACTGCTTCACACTATTATAATGGATGGAAAGCAATTATTGTGACAAGTGTAATAAAATGACAAGCCAGAGATTTAAGAAATGTAATAGATTTTTACCTAGTATAAGTTCTAGACTCAAACACTAGGCTATGACATGGAAACTATTCGCGTCCAGCTTTTGTCCTTGTACAAAGATGACTAATTCTTCTACATGGGAAGTCAGACCAGGCTGTATATTTTAGAGGTTTAAAATATTTAACCACTTCTTTTTTCTTTTCTCTTTTCTTTTCTTTTTTAGAGAAAGAGTACAAGCACAAGTCAGGGAAGAGGAAGAAGAGAGAGAGAGAGAGAGAGAGAGAGAGAGAGAGAGAGAGAGAGAGAGAGAATCTTAAGGAGGCTCCACTCAGCACGGAGCCCAACGCAGTGCTCAATCCCCCACCCTGCGGCTCGTGATCTGAGCTGAAATCAAGAGTTGGGCGCTCAACTGACTCAGCCACCCAGATGCTCCTTAACAATTTTTTTATTTCATAATAAATTCAGGGGGCCAAGATGGCAGAGCAGCATGGAAGTTCCCGGCTTCTCTCATCCCTGAAATGCAGCTAGATCAGCACCAAACCATTTTGCACACCTAGAAAATTGATCTGAGGATGAACACAACAATCTGCATAACTTGAGCCATAGAACTCGGCAGATACAGAGCTCAGAGAGGTGAAATGGAGGAGAGAAAAGCCACAGGGGGTAGGGAGCTGTTTTTGTGGAGAGGGGACAGAGAAAGGAGGGGAGAGTGCGTGAGAAGCACTCTCCCCAGAAGTAGGTGGAGACAAAGAGAAAGAGTGGAAACACCCACACAGACTGAACAAGAAAGGGAGAAAGAGGCTTCAATTCCATTAGGACTCTATAAACAGGGGACAGCAGAGTCAGAAATTCTGTAGCTCAGTATCTAGCAGTGCCCTGGTGGGAAGGGCAAATTCCCAGGAGCAGGCAGTGAGATCTGAGGGGTCTGTAGGCTACACAAGAAGCGGTTCCTCTGCTAGGAGGGCATTTGGTAGAGGCCATATGGCCTCCTCACAGGGAAAGGTCCCAGTGGACCCTACCTGGAGAACAGCCACATGTGCTCATATTGGAACAAAGACGCAAGGGTGTGGTGAAACCCGGTGCCGGCTGTGTGTTGTTTTGCCATAATCTCTGAACCTCTGCTGCCGGACAATCACACAAACTTTTTCTGGGGCAAGCAGGCACCCAGCCACAATCTCGGAACCTCTGCAACAGTGACCGCACAAACATTCCCAGGGGCGAGCCAGGACCCAACCACTGCTCGGCAAGACCCTCCCCAGAGTGCTGGAGTCAGTCCAAACCACAGGGCTCTCAGAAGTGAGGGGTTTGGAAACAGCCCCATATGAGATATAATTCAGGAGGGAGGTGCTGCTGCCAGGCTGACAGCTTGGAAGCCGACAGCATAGATGTGGGGAGTGAATGGAAGCTGAAGACAAAAGAGGGGTGCTTGATTGCCGGTCACAATTGCTGAGCGCAATTATTCTGGTACCAGAGACTGGGAAGCTGGGTGATGCCATTTTCACCTCTCCCAAGCATGCACACACACCTGCACGTGCACCACACCAATCCACCTCAGTAAGCTAAGCAGCACCATCTAGTGGAGAACAGCTGTTACGCCAAGCCCCGTCCAAATGCGCCAACCAAGCTCAGGCCATAGAGGACCACCACAAGTCTCTCCACCTGCTTAGTGCTTCACAGTTGACTTCCAGGGGAAACTAGATGTAATTTCATTCGGATTTCATTCTGTTCACGGGTCCATCTATTCATTTCTTGTCTTTGTTCTTTTCTTATTCTTGGATACAGAAAGAGAAAAATTTATTTTTATTTTCTGGGGTTTTTTAAATTTTTTTTTTTTTTTACTATTTTAACTTTTTAAAACATTTTTTGTGGTTTACTTTCTTCATTTCATTCTATTTTATTGCATACATTTTTTAAATTTTTAAATGTTTTCTTACTTTTTTTTCTTTTCTTTCCCACATCTAATGAATTCGGTGAATTCAAAAGTACAGACAAGAAAAAAAATCTTCTACCAACCTCTTTTGAAACCATGATGCTTATCTTTCCAGATATTTTTCTACATGAATATGGAAAAATAAAAATATATGTAAAACTAAATAAAATAGAATTGTATGTATGAGGTACCTCCAAAAAGAGCACCCAAAAGCTGATACCTCCTTCCCTGCCAAAGTTATGAACAAGTTGAGAAACAAAGAATAAAATATCATTGCTATTACTAACAGATGCTGTAGGTTTATTAGACAAATGGGCTTGCTAATTGTGAACCTCAGAGGAGAGCATGTCTTAGCACTAAACAGGCACAGACTGCTCCCTGCAGGATAAGCCTCTGCACAACTTATTCCATGGAGGAGATGAGAAATCACTCGATGGCTGTGGAAAGACTCGCTAGCTCTGACACATCAATGAAGTGCATCCACTGGGCCAACTAGTCTCAAATTTACCAGTCAGATAAGTCATTACATCAAGGTTGAAATGACTAAGGGAGCCAGAGCAGACTCAGGGTGAACACTAACGGAATTCCCTTCTCAGCAAGGAAACCTCAGAGGTAGAGAAAAAGTATTCCTCACTAATACTTGTGATATTAAATGTATTATTTTCTAACTTGCATTTGTACTTATATAAACACCTATGTTCATAATTATACACCTATAACAATATTTTTAAATAACAGTGTGATGTACCATATATACAGAGTGGCCACAAAATACCTATACAATCAACACATTGATTTTTTTTAAATGCTTTCTCTGCCTTAAGTGCATTGTTTTTTACTATTTTTTTAAGTTTATGTATTTATTTTGAAAGAGAGAGCATGTGCACATGGGCTCATGAGTGGGGAGGGGAAGAGAGAGAGGAAGAGAAAGAAACCCAAGTGTGGAGCCCAATGTGGGGCTTGATCTCACAAAACATGAGATCATGACCTGAGCCAAAATCAACAGGTGGACGCTCAACCAACTGAACCCCCCGAGGAGTCCCAATACACCGTGATTTTAAATCCACCACGTACTCAGCCTCTCTTATACTCACTGATATCACTCATACTGATGCCCCACATAGAAGAAATATAAGATAATTAAAAGTGGTCAGGATTTCACACAGAGGCCCTTCAGCATACTTTGTCTTTCATATGTCTCCACCCGACCTCTCTTCCTCTCCTCAATCCCAATAATGAAGGTAAGCTCCATGATGGCAGGAATTTTTGTTTTGTTCACTATTATTTCTAGTGCATGGAACAGTCTGAAGCACACAGTAGATACTCAGTAAATTCTGGTTTGATAAATAAATTGAATGATGCTGGTTGCTCCTCCATATCCTATTACTGTGCGTACAATGATGCCCAATGTGGTCTTTCTAAAGTGTGCACAAAGTTTTGGACTAGCAAGAGCTTCTGGCCAGCTAGTTTGCTGAGCAAATATCCAAAGGGGCTATACAGGATCAAACTTCACTAGCAACACCATGTGGCAATAAAAGGCAATAGCACTAGTGGGCTTATGAGGTTCCAGTTCTCTGCTTGTTTACTAAAGAGGAATGACAATACCTTTTTGGGAGTCTTAACCAAAAGCCAAGGTAAGTAGGGAAGGGACTGTCTCAAGAAGGAGGCAAAGGGCTTCCTGTGCTGTGATATACAGGTGACTTCAATGGAGTCTGAAAAGCAAATCACATTTATTATACATGACTTGCCAGTCTCATGCTCATCCTTCTCTTTGCTTATGACAGGGTTTTGTTTTTGCTGTACAGATCTAACACTCCTTTTCATACTATCATTTGATACAGTGTTTAGAACTACCTGATGATTCGACATTAAGCTATATTCTCTTTTATATATGTATTATTTCTCATTAATAGGTAAATCTTTAGTCTCTCTGGAATTTCATTTGTTACATGGAAAGAAGGATAGAAAAATATTTTTACTAATTATTTGTCAGTAGTTCTAACATCTAAGAATCTATCATTTCCTCTTTGATATGAGAAGCCAAGCATCATCATTTACCAAATTTCGTCAGTACACATATGCATACAAAGAGTTGAATCTGATTTGAGACCATCTAATAACCTACCCATTATTGATTACTCGACTTTTAATGATTATTTTTTCAATTTCAGTCCTGTGATACACAATTAAATGTGAAATCTATTTAATACCTACCAAAAACCATTCCAACAATTTTAAGTATATCTAAACAGTGTTTTTTATTTTATTTTTATAGAAAATGCAAAAATCCTGATTTGAATACTCTATCCAGCATAGTTTATGGTCTACAAATACAGGGCTCACTCTTTTAAAAAAGTATAAAATCTGAAGACTTTATAATGGTCTGCCAAAAAGGATTTCATTTTTCAAGTGAACTAAGTAACAGTCAAATTATGTACTTAGGAGCATTTTAAACTCCTGGAAAAAATTTTAAATATTATAATTAAGGAACCATTCTTTTATAGCACTGTCACTTTGCCCAGTGTTGGGGGCATACTTCACATTATCCTGTGTCAAATGCATAGAGTGGGAGAGAGTTTAAAAAGCCCTCCTGCGGCCTAAATTCTAAATTTCCAGGGTTTGGTGGGTGTAAGTCATAATGTTTCATCACCAGGTTTTGATTATTGTATATAGAAAGCCTCAAATATCCTGAAATATTTCAGAAAGATTCTAACAATATCATATTCCGTCCATCAATACCTATAAAGAACAAAAAGGCGCCCCCTCTACACAGTGCATTGTGTTTAGCATAAAAATTTAAAAAGAATTCAAGTCTACCCAGAAAACTTTTAATGAAATAGGCTCTACCAGTAATTTTTAAAATTTAACTATATAAAAGAAAAATGCTCAGAAGAGATTTATAAGGTTCCTCCTACTATGTTTGCAAATAAAAACTCACGACTGGTCTGCCTCCAACCATGGCAGAGTGTCCGCTATCAGATTTGCTATTCTACCAAAAACAAGAACAAAACAGGCCACAATATATAATGCAATTGTGTTCAGGAAAGGAATAACAGGCAGTGCAGGTCTGAGATCTTTGAGGGAAGGGAAATGTGAAGTAAGCCCCATAACGTCCCTAGTTTTTGCCTGGGAATACTTTCCTGTCCCAACACAAGGAGAACTAGCCCAAGTAGAGCAACAGACCAAATTTCTGAGCACAGGGACTTACCATGGGTCCTCGGTCAAGGGCTAGGCTACTTGAGTCTCTAAGAAGTCTAGCAGAGATCACCGACTATGGGGCTGAAAGGCTGTGCAGTGCAGGGAGTCTTTGCAGTTCTTGTTTGTGTTCCCACAAAATTCAGATATTGAAGCCCTAACCCACAGTGTTGCTGTATTTGGAGAATAAACCTCTAAAGGTTAAATGAGGTCATAAGGATGGGATCTTGATCCAATAGGATTAGTATCCTAATAAGAAGAGAACACAGAGCTCACTATCTCTCTCTCTCTCCATACATGCGCCAAGAAGAGGTCATGCAAGCACACAATGAAAAGGTAGCCATCTGCAACCCAAGGGTAGAGACACCTCACCAGACACCAACCCTGCTGGGACCTTGCTCTTGGACTTCCCAATTTCCAGAACTGTGAGAAAATAAATTTGTTGTTCAATTCACCTAGTCCAAGGTAATTTGTTATGGCAGCCCAAGCAGACTAATACTCCACCCAACTAGAGTACAGAGAACATTTCAGGCATTCAACTGAAACACCAAAAGAGAATAAAGGCCCCCTATAATTTAATTCAATATCAAAACAGACCTGTCACACAAAGAAAACCAAAACGATCCTCTAATAACATAATTACCTGACAGAAAAAACTCAAGACTCTTTAAAGGAAGACAACATAACCTAGCCTCCTTGCAAAGAATAATCATAGTGAACAGCATAATATAAAAAATTACCAGTATACGAGAAAGTATCCCATAATCAAGATAAAAGTAATCAATAAAAAGAGATAATAACATAACTGAAATATCAGAAATAGCAAAAGAAAAAAGTACTTTAAAGCAGGTGTTACCAAGAACTTAAACCAAAGGCTGGTGAGTGCTCAGCAGGGAAAAGGAAACTATAAAATTGAATTTGTGGAACTAAACGGTACAATATCAACCAAAAAATTCACCAGATGGGTTTAAAAGCAGAATGGAGACCACAGAAACAGTGAATGTGAAGAAAAATCAATAGCAGTTATCAAATTTGAAGAATAAAAAAAATTTTTTTAACTGAACAGTCTCCATATATTGATTTTTTAAAACTTGCTATGTAACCAATTACTGCAAATTAGTAGTTTAAAACACCCATTATTAGTTCATAGTCGTACAGTTAAAATCTATGCAGCCTTGGCTAGGTTCTATGCTCAGAGTATTACAAGGCTTATTGTTGGTGTTTGATGTTACTTAGCTAAAACATGAGAACTAGATTCATGCATATTGGAACTATGTAAAGTGAGGCCTACCTGTACATTAAAGAAAGCCAAGTTTAAATCTTTCCTCAAATGTGCATGAACTATCAAAACCTAGAAATAATCTAGGACAATATACATAATATATTCTCTAAATACAATGCTTTTTTATTAGACGAAATGTAATACACAACCAGATGGAAATGAACAATGAGGCATATAAATAATTAAGACTGTAACAAAGCAATACAAAAACTTGTTATAAATAGGATATGATATATCAGTATCTTGGGACATAACTAAAGCAATGCTTAGAAGGTAGACAAAATTTGTTTTTTATGTATTAGTAAGAAAAAGACTAATTATTTTTATACCTTAAAATTGTAGTAGGAGAATAGGAGAAAACTGGAAAAAACTTTTTTTCAATAGCAAAAATAAACTGGAAAATGGAAAGTAAATGAATAGAATTCATTTTTGGTTTGTAACAGGAAACCACAGCTGACAGCTTTTACTAAAGATATAAACATGTTCTTTCTTTGGACCAATTCATTATGAACTAAATAATTACTGAAAATATAGTAGAGCCAATTCTTTCTAGTTTGTAAATAAATCATGGGGCACCTGGGTGGCTCAGTTAAGCATCCGACTCCATCTCAGCTCAGGTCATGATCTCATGGTTTGTGAGGTTGAGCCCTGAGTCAGGCTCTGTGCTGAGAGGCTACTTGGGATTCTCTCTCCCCCGTCTCTCTCTCTGCCCCTTCTCTGCTTGCACTCTCTCTCTCTCAAAATAAGTAAATAAACTTTAAAAAATAAAATAAATCATACATGTTTAATGATTAAAATAACAATATACACTTGTTATTAAGTTTCCAGACCATACAATTTTTGTGTAAATTTACACTAAAAATATTTAAATGTCCAAAGCCTCAACCTGACGTTTATAAATATTTCACCTCTTTCTCTGACTTCAATAACACCCATACTTAGCATTCTACAATACTTGGGTTTAACATACATTTTCTCATTTACTCCTCATTTAATGTCTTGATTTGTTTGGGTATATTTCATTGCTGTAAATCTTCAGTTTACTCTGGGGAAAGCAGTAATATAAATTTTACCTTAAAATACACTGTTCATGGGGAGTGACTCCATCAGTTAAGCATCCCACTCGTGGTATCAGCTCAGGTCATGATCTCATGGTTCCTGAGATAGAGCCTGACATCAGGCTCCACATTAGGCTCTGTTCTGACAGCATGAAGCCTGCTGGGGATTCTCTCTCCCTCTCCATCCCTCTCTCTGCCCTTCCCCCACTTGCATGTGAGCGAACATGCTCACTCGCTCTCTCTCAAAATACATAAACATTTAAAAACATACACTGTTCATTATCTTCTAAAATGAAAACCTACTTACCACTCTGAGTGCTGAATGATAGGTAATAATTTTTTTTAATGTTTATTATTTTTGAGAGAGAGAGACAGAGAACAAGCAGGGGAGGGGGAGAGAGAGAGAGAGAGAGACAGAATCAGAAGCAGGCTCCATGCTGTAAGCTGTCAGCATAGAACCTGACGTAGGGCTCGAGCCCACAGCCTCATGAGATCATGACCTGAGCTGAAGTTGGGCACTTAACCCACTGAGCCACCTAGGCGCCCTGGTAATTTAATTAAGAAGTAACAGCTTCAAAACATTTTACATATACTAAACCAGTTACACTTCAATCCAACAAAGTAAGGATTCCCCATATTGTAGATGAGGAAACATACACAGAAAAGTAACACAAGATCACACGACTAGTAAGTAGTAAAACAGGGATTTCAATTTGG